AGACACAGGTGATGGCCTTTCACCTACGCCACCAAGAAGGCAAGTGGCAACTAAACATCACCTGGGGTGGAATCCCACGGGTTAATCATCCACACCTTGTCTGCCTTGGGGTGACATTGGACCGGACACTTTTTCCTTCCAAGGAGTTGAAAGGGAAAGTTAGCACCTGTAACAACTTCCTCCAAAAGTTGGTCACCTCCAAGTGGGGAGCCAATACAGTTACTTTGCGAACTAATGCTATCCCCTTGTGCTACTTCATAGCAGAGTATGCATGTACAGTGTGGGAACGATCTGTCCATGCTAAGGAATTAGACTCTGTTCTAAACAACAGTTGTCCTGGAATAACAGGAGAAAGCCAACACCAAAGGACAACCTGTACTTACTGGCTGGCTTTGTACCACCTGATCTCAGGAGGAAGGCAGCAAGCCAGAGGAAAAGATCATGGAAGATCCAAGGCATCCATTATATGGTCACACAGGAGTAATCAAATGCCTTAAATCGCAAACGCGTTTTATAACCAGCGTTGTACCTTTTGGATATGACAGCTGGCAAGGCACGACTGAGGTTATGGAATACGTGCAGTTGGATGCACTGAAATAGATCTGGAACCCCAGGAGGACCTTCTCAGAGGGGCCGATATAGACCAGTCAACGTCGTGATGCCTGAACCACCTGTGTATGCAAACTGGCAGATCAAAGACTAATATGATCAAATGGGGCTACTCTAATGACACAAATATATGTGAGTGCAGTGAGGAGCAGACAATGGAGCACCTGCTTGTTTGCCAATTCTTTGGGGAGACCTATAAGAAGGAGGACCTCCCTGTAGTGATGGAAAGACCCATCACTTGTGCACAGTTCTAGAAAAAGATCTAGTGTGTGGCAAGCACACGAGGTGAAGAAGACGACGACGACTACATAGCGGTTTAACACCTCTCTGAAGATGTCATTTATGAAGTGCTGGAATGCTGCTGGGGCATTGCACAGACTAAACGGCATGACCCGGTACTTAAAGTGTCCACACTATGTATGGAAGGCAGTCTTCCACTCAACTCCCTTGCTAATCACCAAGCTATAGGCCGTGTGAAGCTCCAGCTAAGTGAAAACCTTTGTGGAGTGGAGTCTTTTGAAAAGCTCATTAATGATAGGGTCAGGGTATTGATTTTTGAATCGTGACTCTGTTTAATGCCCAATAGTCAATACAGAGCCTTAGTGATCTGTCTTTTTTTTCTTTACAAAGAAAATTGGAGCCCCAGCTGGAGATGTGGTAGGATGGATTAACCCCTTTTGTAGATTTTTTTTTCTTATTTTTTTCTTTTTCTGGAGGCAGTTATGGAGAGCCTGAAATTCTAGCTCTGAAAGGGCGTAGATGCAGCCAAAAGGGACTTCTGCTCCAGGCGGGAGATCGATGGGATAGTCCTTAGCTGCACTCAGGTGACAGAGTGTCCTTGTATTTAAGTGGTAACGCGGGGGCAGTGGACTGGACCGCAGAGGTTAACGAGACTTCCTGTTCAGACTTGGAATCTCGAGAAAGGCAGGCTGAATCCTGAAGGATTCCCAGTCTATGGTCACGTTGCAGGAGACAGAATTGTTGTCAAGGTGGGCAACAGCATTGTATCCTGCCTGTCCTCCAACAAACACATGGGCCATGGGTAGTGAGCCAGGGCATGCCGAAAACTGCTGGAAAGTGTGGTGCTTGGATAAGTTCAAACTGAAGGGTCTCTCGGTGAGTCACAACTTTCAAGGGGTTCGGTCTGGTGGGGAACCAGGCCTGATGAGAGGAGTGAGTCGTTGATAGACTTCAACAAGTCTGAAGCATCCTTGGGTTGAGGGGGGGATGTGATATATTCATGCAACGGTCCTGATCCATGAAGTTGCCTGAGGCACCCGAATCACCATCAGACAGGTACTGGTGCTGGTGCTTGATGAGAGGCAGGGAGTGCCACCCCAGCCTGGATCCACACATCAGGTACTGGGGTTTGGCCTTTCCTGACCAGGGTGCAGATTGGAGCTTAGGAGGGCAGCCCGACACAAAGTTCCTGCTCTTCCACAGTATAGGCATAGCCCCGGTGCCCGATGTCGCCTTTTCTCTGTGTTGGTGAGATGGGGCTGGACTTGGTCCGGCTGCATGGGAAGGTGCCCAAGGTTGGGCTGGAGATGCCAGGACAGGCAGGCATTGGCAAGCTGACATTTTTCTCTTGGTGGTGGTCCATCAGGCAGTTATCAACCTGGATACTGAGGTCAATCAAGGTGTCCGGAGTGGGTGGGGAGTCCACTCACACCAGCTTGTCTTTGATGTCACCCTTTTGGCCGAAGTGGAAATGATGATAATGCAGCGTGGCCTCGTTCCATGCAGTAGCCACTACCAAGCGGCGGGACGCCACGGCATATTTAGCAACAGGCCGGCGTCCCTGCCGCGACCGCCAAAGGGCGGCCTCACGTGTACGCTCGTGACTAGGGTCATTGAAGATCACAGCCAGGAGTGGGCTTGCTTTCTGCAGCAGTGGGGATGCCCAGGTCAGAGCCTCCCCAGTCAGCGGGTTGATACTCAGCCCCACCCTGCATTGGTCAGTGGGGAAAACTATGGGCACAGAAGAAGTAGTAGCCAGTATTGATTTTCCCCCCCTCCCAACCCCCGAAATGTTCCCTGAACACCATTAAACTTATGAGGCAGGGAAATCTTTGGCTCACATGGACCAAGGGGCAGAGTTGGGGGCAGTGCTGCCTGCTTGTGTCCATAGGACAGCGACCTGGACTGGCAGTGTGGGGTCAGCAAGGCACCCCATGTCTCCAGCAAGGGAATATTGGCTGGGAAAGGATCCATATGAGCCACTGGTCTGGACCTTTAGTCAGCCCAGTTCCCCTCTGTTTACTTTGGGCCGCTCAAACCGTCAGCGGAGTGGGTGGTAGGCCATCAGGCCTGGTGGTTGCAGTTTCAATGCCAGAGTCGAGGGCTGAGCCGAGGGTCGGACCCGGATTGTCAGGAAAGGCGGGACCAGGGCTGGTTCTGAGGCTGGGACAGGATGGGACCAAGGCTGGGGCAGGGTGGGATCTGGCCTGGAACAGTGGAGGAGCAGAACAGAGGCAGGGCTTGGAGAGCCGAGGAGCCCAGTCCAGCAGGGGGTCTGTCCAGCAGCCTTGCTGGGGCGTCAGAAGTACCGAGCAGGTGCAGTTAAGGGCCTTACTCCTGGCAGTACCCCCGTTCCGCTGCGCCCCCCCCCACGCATTGCACTCCCCTCATGCCCCCACCACGTGCCCCCACACGCCGCACTCCCTTCATGGCCCCCTCACGCACTTTGTGCCCCTCCCCGCCACATGCGCTCCTCACTCCTTCCGCTGTCCCTGGCTCCCTCCATGCCCTCCAATGGGCCTCGTTTCCCTGACGCCCCCCTCACACACCTCGCTCGCCGCGCCGTGCGCCCCTCATGCCCCCCCATGCGCCTCGCTCCCATCACGTCCCCCTCGCGCCCCCCCCACGCGCCTTGCCTCCCTCATGCCCCTCCTCATGCCTCGCTCCCATCACATCCCCCTCGTGCCCCCCCCACACATCTCGTCTCCCTTAGGCCCCCCTCACGTGCCATGCGCCCCTCGCGCCTCGCCTCCCTCACGCCCCCCTCACACACCTCGCTACCCCCTCGTGCCCCCCCTCACGTGCCTTGCCTCTCTCATGCCCCCCCGACATACCTCGCTACCCCTTCGTGCCCCCCCTCACGTGTCTTGCCTCCCTCACGCCCCCCGACATACCTCGCTACCCCCTCGTGCCCCCCCACATGCCATGCGCCCCTCGCCCCCTCGCGTCCCCCTCACACACCTCACTCCCCGTGCCGCGCGCCCCCCCACGCCCCCCAATGGGCCTCACTCCCATCACATCCCCTTTGTGCCCCCCGTGTGCCTTGCCTCCCTCACGCCCCTCCTCACGCCTTGCTCCCATCACATCCCCCTCGTGCCCCCCTCACACATCTCGTCTCCCTTACGCCCCCTCACGTGCCATGCGCCCCTCGCGCCTTGCCTCCCTCACGCCCCCCTCACACACCTCGCTACCCCCTCACGCCGCCATGTCTCACCCCCTTGCACCCCCCACGTGCCATGCGCCCCTCGCATTCCCCTCACACACCTCGTCTCCCTTATGCCCCCCCTCACGTGCCATGCGCCCCTCGCGCCTCGCCTCCCTCATGCCTCCTTCACACACCTCGCTGCCCCCTCGCACCCCCCCACGTGCCATGTCCCCCTCACACACCTCGCTCCCCCGATGTGCCTCGCCCCCCTCATGCGCCTCATCCCCCGACATGCCGCGCTAGCCTCAAGGCCCCCAACGCACCTTGTTCTCCTCACGCCCCCCCCAAATACACCTCGCTCCCCCTCCAGTTACACCTTGTTCCACCCGCACCTCGCTACCCCCACCCCTCGCCGGCCCTTTCAGGCATGGAGATCACCCGCCATAAGTGACCAAAACCCCCGCCTCCGCCGTGCCCCACTGGGAACTGAGGTCGCTCGCCACGAGTGCCTGCCCCCCGGCTTAGCTGCCCCCGCCCTGCCCCGATCAGCCCTGTCGAGCATGGGGGTCATCCTCGAAAGGCACCCCCCCACCTGCCTCAAGGAAATGGCCAACCCCCCCTGCTAAGCTGCCCTACCCCCGAGCCCCCTCCCCACTTAGCTGCCCCCACACCCAGCTCTACGGGGAAAGGGGGGAGGCTGAATCAGGGACTGGGTCAGGGCTGCCTCCTCTTCCCAGCCCCCTCCTTTTGTCCCAGGGTCAGGGGAGGGGGATGGAGACAGGAACCACCCCCCCCCGCGCGAAAAGATCCAGCACCGTGGGGCCTTTTGGGGCAGGTGGGATTGGGGGCAGGTGCCACCTGTGGTTAAAGACATTAAATCTGTACAGCAAACCTTGTTCCCCTCTTCCCCCCCACATCCCTCCCTTCCGCCCCCCCCACATCCCTCCCTCTCTCCCCCCCGCCCCCACCTGACCCTTCCCTCTCTCCCCTCTGTTCAACTCTCCAGCCGTCTGCCTGGCGGGCTGCAGCGAGGGGCACGGCTACTGCGAGCGGCCCGGGGAGTGCAAATGCCGGATCGGCTGGCAGGGGGGCCTGTGCGACGAGTGCGTCCGCTACCCGGGCTGCCTGCACGGCACCTGCAGCCAGCCCTGGCAGTGCAACTGCCGGGAGGGCTGGGGCGGCCTCTTCTGCAACCAGGACCTGAACTACTGCACCAATCACCGGCCCTGCCGGAACGGGGCCACCTGCACCAACACGGGCCAGGGCAGCTACACCTGCAGCTGCCGGGCCGGCTTCACGGGCGCCGGCTGCGAGATCGAGACCAACGAGTGCGACAGCAACCCCTGCAAGAGCGGCGGCAGCTGTGACGTCAGTATCCCCCCGCCCTTGCACCCCACTGCGACCCCCACCCCATTGTGACCCCCCCAAACCCCTGCAAGAGCGGCGGCAGCTGTGACGTCAGTATCCCCCCGCCCTTGCGCCCCACTGCGACCCCCACCCCATCGCGACCCCCCCAAACCCCTGCAAGAGCGGCGGCAGCTGTGACGTCAGTATCCCCCCGCCCCCCCCCACTGCGACCCCCCACCAGCCCCGCCCCGCAGCACCCCCCACCCCATCGCGACCCCCCCCAAACCCCCTGCAAGAGCGGCGGCAGCTGTGATGTCAGTATCCCCCCGCCCTTGCGCCCCACTGCGACCCCCACCCCATTGTGACCCCCCCCAACCCCCTGCAAGAGCGGCGGCAGCTGTGACGTCAGTATCCCCCTGAACCCCACTGCGACCCCCAGCCCCGCCCCGCAGCACCCCCCACCCCATCGCGACCCCCCACCCCTGCCCTGCAGCACCCCCCACCCCATCGCGACCCCCCCCCAAACCCCTGCAAGAGCGGCGGCAGCTGTGACGTCAGTATCCCCCCGCCCTTGCGCCCCACTGCGACGCCCCATGCCCCACAGCGACCCCCCCCAACCCCATCGCAGACCGGCGCCACTTGCGCCCCAGTATCCCCCCGCCCTTGCGCCCCACTGCGACCCCCACCCCATCGCGACCCCCCCCAAACCCCTGCAAGAGCGGCGGCAGCTGTGACGTCAGTATCCCCCGCCCTTGAACCCCACTGCGACCCCCACCCCATTGTGACCCCCAAACCCCTGCAAGAGCAGCCCCAGCTGTGACCAGTATCCCCCTGAACCCCACTGCGACCCCCCACCCCCGCCCCTCAGCACCCCCCACCCCATCGCGACCCCCCAACCCCTGCAAGAGCAGCGGCAGCTGTGACGTCAGTATCCCCCCGCCCTTGCGCCCCACTGCGATGCCCCTTGCCCCACAGCACCCCCAACCCCATCGTGACCCCCCCAACCCCTGCAAGAGCGGCGGCAGCCCCAACATCACTATCCCCCCACCCCACTGCAGCCCCACCCCACAGCAACCCCAACCCCATAGCAACCCCCTTCCCCCAAGCCCTGCAAGAGCAGAGGAAGCTGTGACGTCCGTATCCCCCCGCCCCGCTCCATGGCACCCCACCCTCATCGCTCTGTAGCCTCTGCACCCCACCGTAACCCCCCCTAGACTCCACAGGGCCCCCAACCCCTTCAAGAATGAGGTGGCTGTGACATCGTTATCTCCCCTCCCTTGCCCCACGGCATCCCCCCACTGCACCCTCCGTTAACCCCCCCCCCCCCCGCTAGAATGGAGGCAGCCACAATGTCAGTATCACCCCCACAACCAGCGCCTCTGCACCCCCCCATTATCACCTCCCCCACCCCAATGTACCCCCAACTTGCCCCTCCACCACTAGATCGGCAGCAGTTGCAACATCAGCCTCCCCCTTATCTCCCCCACCCATTACCAGCAGCGGCGGGGGGGAGGGGGTGTCCATGGCTGTGCACAGCAGAGGGCCTGGGCGCTGGCTGCTGGGAGGGGTGGTGGAGATGATGAGCCTTAACCCCCCGCCCCTGCAATATGGGAGGCAGCGGCCACATCCGTCTAGGGGGCTAGATCCCCCCCAGTGGGGGTCAGTGCTCCTTCCCCCAGCCCCGGGGTCCGTGCAGCCTGGATGCTGTGGTGGTGGGCGAAGCCATCGATGTCTCCTTTCCATGTGCAGGGAGCTGGGTGAGGGGGTATCACTGCATCTAGGAAACACCCCTCCGGAAAGATCCGGGGCCGGGAGGGTGGGCTGGGGAGGGGTTGGCGGCTGTGAAAATGCCCCCCTCGTGCCCTGCAAAATGCCTCAGCTGTCCTGTAGGCCGTCTGTGCCCCCAGAGGAGCAGGGCCTTCCCATAACTGCCCCCCCCCCCAATGCAGCTGTCTCCAGTGGGTGCAGAGTTAACACAGAGGCAGGGTGGCCCAGTGATCAGAGCGCTGGCCTGGGGGAGGGGGGACAAGGGCGAGTTCCAGTCTGGACCCTGGCCACCACAGCCTGAGATCTGAAACAGGGTGGAGGGGGGGGGGGGGGTCAAGGTGGCAGCTGGCCCAGCTGCACAGCAGAAGGCTCTCACGCCTGCAGAGTGAAGGCAGGTGCTGGGCAGGGGCAGAGTCAGGGATTCCCTTTCCTTCCCCTCTCCCGGTGCTGATCCACAGCGGGGAACTAAAAATACCGAGTCAGTGCCTGCCGGGGAGGCAGTCCCGCAACTCCTACACCTGCACGGGGTCCGCTGTCCCTCGTGCAAACTAGAGCCAGACACGCACCAACCCCCTGTGCCCCCCGAGCGTCCTAGCATAGCATCATAGCATCTCAGGGTTGGAAGGGACCTCAGGAGGTCATCGAGTCCAACCCCCTGCTCAAAGCAGGACCGACCCCAACTAAATCATCCCCGCCAGGGCTTTGTCAAGCCGGGCCGTAAAAACCTCTAAAGAAAGAGATTCCCCCACCTCCCTAGGGAACCCATTCCAGGGCTTCCCCACCCTCCTAGTGAAATAGTGTTTCCGAATATCCAACCTAGACCTCCCCCACTGCAACTTGAGACCATTGCTCCTTGTTCTGCGCCCCCCTGTGCTCGCAGAATTCCCAGAGCCGCTGCTCCCAGAAGAACACGCCGGCTTACTGGGTCCACACTCCCACAGCACCGCTTAACGCCCAGCACTTCGCTTTGTCGGTAGAGAAAGCCAGGATCCGTCCGTCAAACAGAGATTCGAACGGCCGTGAGCCGAAACAGAGGAAACCAAGGGAATCTACGCGTGGATCCCAGGGTTACCTATAAAATCAAGTCTGAACTCGTATACTAGAGCCTGCCCTTGATACAAGATGCCCTCTTGTCTAATAAGTCCTGCTCCCCCCAAAGTCCTTCTCCCCATGTTTTTCAACCAGGATGGCTGAGCCCCTCCTTTTGTGAGATCAAGCCTGGGGGCAGCTTGTCTCCCCCGATGTTGTTTCACCTGTAAAACAGCCCCCTCTCCCCCCCGCGCTGTTCATCTCTTCCTGTTAATTTTCTCCTGAAGTCCCTGCAAGCTCTTCATGAGCAAATACACCCTCGTTGTAAGATACCCCAAGTTCAGCCCAAGAGAGAGGTCTCTATCTCCTGTCTGGTGGAGCCAGTTTCTGGGTCTCCTACCTGTAATGACAAGGCTTCGAGACCAGGATTTCCAATTGATATACGGATCTCCTTACATAGTATCCCCACGTACATTTCACAAAGCTGATCACGGGCTGTGTGACGGATGCGGGCTTCAGTTAGAGACCTCACGGGACTCTCTTTGGTAATCTAGTCTGTAAATACCAGGCCTAGGGCACCCCTAGAACCTATGTGCACCCCTGGGCCCTCTGCCCACTGGCAGGTGGTACGCCTGGTAGTGCAGACCCAAGGGTGGAGGGGTGTGTGCCAGGGAAGTCTCCTAGCAAGCACCTATCATTAGGGCCTCAATTCTGAGGCCCTGTCTTGGAGATTGCCCCCTACTGACCCATGTTCCCTGCATCACAGCGTCCCCTAGCACTGCGCTGGGGCATTGGGGTCAGCACTGACCACGAGGGGAGCGTTCCCCCTATTGAACTACCAGCCCAGCTTCCTGCTGTGCCCAGTTTCTCCAACCCCACGTGTTGTCTGAGATCATGGCTGCCTCTCTGAGCCTCTCAGAGGCAGCCTCACCAGACAGAGGCTGGAGGCTCGATTATTAGGCCCATAGGAACTGCCGGACCGGATCAGACCGGATCCCCATCTACCCCGATATCCCATCTTGAACAGCAGCCAGTCCCAGCTGTATCAGACGAAGGTGCAAGACACACCCCCTACTGGGCAATGATGGGATAACCTGCCCAGAGGGGAGGTTGCTTCCTGATCTGGGTTAGGTAGAGACTGGAGCGTGCGGGTTTAGCTCCTTTCCAAAACACTTCTGTCACATCATTCTGGATAGGCCCATTTTCTGCACCAATATCCAACCCTTGAGTCTGAATCCTGCCCAGCTCTTGGCTTCAGTGGTGACAATAATCATGAGGCAGTGAGTTCCGCAGGCCAGTGGTGCTTTGTGTAATGATCTAGTCATCAGCTTTAAACATGCTGCCTTGCAGCTCTTGTGTTAGGAGCCAGGGTGAAGAGCAGCCCCCAATCTACCATCTCCATCCTCTCTCTGAGTAAGTCTCCATTCTAAACTACACCACCCCCCGCCCCGTCAGCCTTCTCAATCTCTCTTGTTCTTGGGTCCGTGCAGTGCCCATCACAATGGGGTCCTGAGCAACGACAGATGCTCCCATAGGACACCTAATAGCAATACTATTGTACAGCACGTGGCACAATGGGCTCTGGGCCAGGACTGGGTCCGGGGGTGTCGCTGCAACTAGGAAACACCCCTCCAAAAAGACTGTGGCCAGGAGCGTGGAATGAGGATTACCGTAACACACCTAATAAATATTAAGTAATGATATAGACCTCTAATGGTCTCCCTGCCTATCTCTGAAAACCCTCTGTGTGTCATTGCTGTGTTCCATGGTGTGACCTGAATGGAACACAGTTAGCCCAAGCCAGAATGTCCTTATATAATACACACTCAAATATTTTCTGCTGTTTCCCATCTCATTCCTCTCATCACTTTAACCTTTTGCTTTTTCTGGCCACTGCTGCACATTTACTATTAGGTGTATTATGGGGGAATTAGAAGCCGCAATCAAGATGAGGGCCCTGTTGCGCTGGGCACTGCCCAGACACGGAGTGACCGAGATCGGGGCCCCGTCGCGCCAGGTGCTGCCCAGACAGAGTGAGAGCCAATCCCTGTCCTGAAGAGCACAGTTGAAATAGACAGGACAGAGAGAGTTAGAATTATTCTCCTGATTTTACAGAAGGGAAACTGAGGCACAGAGGGGTTATTGATTGGTAAGGGACCTCTTTGGTCATCTGGTTTAGCCTCCTGCATCAACGCTAGCCACTGAGGACTGAGGCTAGATCTACACACAGATTTTGTCCCGGTGTGGACAATGCCAGTTAGGGGTATGGTTTTGTTTTTTTAACCTGATGTAGTTATTCTGCATCAACCCATAGTGTGGAGTATTTATAGTGGGATAAATGTGCCTTATACCAGTGTAGCTGATTCCCTTCCTGTTTGGGTGCGAGCACCTTTATCCCACTATAACTGCATCCGCTCTGGGGGTTGTACAGCTTTAACAAGACTAAGTTATCTATTAGGTATATTATGATAGCACCTAAGAGCCTCAGTCATGGACCAAAAGCCTCACCCCATTATGCCAGGCACTGTACATTTTATTGCTATTAGGTGTATTATGGTAGCGCCTAGGTACCCCAGGCATGGAGCAGGACCCCACTGTGTCAGGTGCTGTACTTATGTATTGCTATTAGGTGTATTACGGTAGCCCCTAGGAGCCCCAGTCACGTACCGAGCCCTCACTGTGCCGGGGGCTGTATAAAGGCAGAGCAAGAAGCCAGCCACTGCCCCAAATTGCTGCCAAGCGAAGTACTTGGAGCAGGACAATTTTTTTGTGCATTCACAGAGCTTTAAGACTCAGGTCCTCAAAGGTACTGAGGTGCCTAATTCCTATGAGGGTTAGGAGTCTGCGTACCTCTGAGGACGTGGGCCTCAAGGAGTTGCCCAGGGGGTCTGCAGCCGAGCTGGGAATAGCGTGGTGACCACCCGAAGACGTAGAAATTAGGTTGATGTCATGACGGTGCTCAGGGGCGTGTGAAATCCACCGCTCTGCCCACCTCACCCCCCTGCGCTGGAAGAATGCTTCCGTCAGGCTAGCGACGGCCGCTCAGGGAGGTGGTTTTCCTATCCCCTTCCCGTCGCTTTCAGCTGTGGCTGCTCTGAAGCTCTTCCAGGACAGCCCCCGTAGCGTCGACAAGCCCCGAGCCCCAGCACTGCGTCTCCCCCAGAAGGCCAGCTTCCTTCTCCTGCCGAGGAGCCGGGATCTTCAGCGGTGTAATGTTCATAGCACCTGTCCGCATGAGCTCTCTGGATCCATTTGGTCCTCGTCCCCGTCCCCCCCCGGCCTCCCCCGCTGGTTACAGATTTAAATCTGTAACCTGCCGCTTCTTTCTCTCTCCCTCCCCCTGCTCCCAGGATCTGGAGAATGACTACAAGTGCACCTGCCCCCAGGGCTTCTACGGGAAGAACTGCGAGATCAGCGCCATGACCTGTGCCGACGGGCCCTGCTTCAGCGGAGGCACCTGCGCCGAGAAGCCCACAGGCGGCTACACCTGCCACTGCCCTCTGGGCTACCACGGCTCCAACTGTGAGAAGAAGATCGACCGGTGCACCAATAACCCCTGTCTGAACAGTAAGGGCCACGCTGCTTTCTTCTCTGGGGTGAGGGGGGGGGGCGGGGCGGGTGAAGGCCGCACGCAGGCCTGGGCATGACTGGGGGGGAACCTGTGTTTGCTGCGCTGTCCTGCTCTCTTCTCCTGAGCTTCTGGGCTGGCGGTGACAGAAAGCCATTGGGTGGGTCTCACCCCACTTAGCCAGGGCCCAGGGTGGGGTCTCACCCCACTTAGCCAGGGCCCAAGGCTTCGCTGCAGCATGGCTTCCCCGGCAGCCCTGCTCTGAATGGGAAGTGGGCTGGAATCTCTACGCCATCCCCTGATGTTTCCCAAATCCCTGAATGGAGGGGAATAGATCCCCTGTATGCAGATCCCCAAGACACTAGAATATGCCTCTGCCCAAAGCAGAGGCATGGTGGGGATCGGGGTTCAATTCCCTGCTTTGCCATTGATCTCCTGTGTGACGCTGAGAATGTCACTTAGACTGTGCCTCAGTTTCCCCATCTGCAAAACAGGGTAATAATCCTTCCATTGTCTATTTAGATTGTAAACTCTTAGGGCATGGCCTTCTCTACATAGAGAACTATTCTGGGACAAGCCAGGCTTTGGATTTGAAATGTTAGCACTGTTCTGAAATAGCTTCCCATGTGGCTGCTCGCAATTAAGGAGACTGGGGCAAGGTTTAGGGCAGCAGTTTCTTGGCACCCCAAAGGATTGGGATGGGGGTGGGGGTTAGCCATCTCTCAGGCACACCCAGAGCAAGGGCCATCCTCCCTCAGTGGGCAGAGTTCAGTGGATCTCCCCCAGGGTACACCTGGGGGTCTGCAGTGGTCTTCCGGGGTACGTCAACTCATCTAGAGATTGGCCCAGTTTTACAACAGGCCACGTAAAAAGCGCTGGTGATGTCAGTACAAACGGCAGTTTCATTCCGACCACATGAGAGAGCCAGCAGTCGCTCAGAAGCCGTGGGCTGGGACACTTTTTGGTAATTTGATGTCTGATTTTTGCAAGCAAGTCGTTTTTAAGTGAGGTGTAATTTGGGGGTGCGCAAAACCAGGCAGACTCCTAAAAGGGATGCAGTAGTCTGGAAAGGTGGAGTGCGGTGCACCAAGGTGGCTGGGGTTTTCCTGAGAGTGTCCCTGGAAAAGGGAGGGAAATACTTTCTGCCAAAAATTCAGAAAAGAAGCCCCCAAAAAGGACCGTTTTGGGGGGTGTTTCATTTGTTATCTCCCCTTTTTCTTTGGAGGGAGCTCTGAAGCCCCACCCCCCCAGAATATCTCACACCTTGATAAATTGAAAGATCTGTTTGATGGAAAATTACAACCAGTTTCTCCTGGTCCACCCCCTCCTTCCCGCCCACCTGATGTCTTTCCTGACACCTACATTAAGAGCTCTCTGGAGAGAGGACTGTATTTTGCGTGTCTGTACAGCACCTGACACAACTGGGGCCTGGTCCAGGGCTGGGGGGTGGGCCTGCCTCAACACTACTCTAATACACCTAATAGCAACAAAAAAATGCACTGTGTCCAAGGACTGAGTCTCCTAGCAGCTCCCGTAATACACTTAAATCACAATAAAAATGTACAGCACCTGGCACAATTGGGTCCTGGTCAATGACTGGGATGCCTAGGAGCTACCATAATACACCTAATAGCAATAAAAATGTTCTATACCTGGCAGCATTGAGTCCTGGTCCATGACTGAAGCTCCCAGCTGCTACTGTAATACGTGTAATTACAATAGAAACGTACAGCACCCAACACAATGGGCCATGACAGGCTCCTAGGTGCTACCGTAATACGCCTAATAGCCATAAAAATTTACAGCCCTTGGCACAATAGGGACCCTCCTTGGCTGGGGCTCCTAAGTGCTCCCATCATAGAAGCAGCAGTCCTATGCCGCACGTTGGAGAGGAGTCGCTCAGTAGGTAATGTGGTCTAGTGGACAGAGCACTGGACTGGGCCTCTGGAGACCTAGGTTCTAGTCCCACTTCTGCTGTTGCCTTGCTGCGTGTCCTTGGGCAAGTGCCTGTCCTCACTCTGTGCCTCAGTTTCCCCACCCACACTTCAGAGACTCCAAGGCCGGAAGGCACCATTGTGATCATCTTTCACTGACCTCCTGTATAACCCAGGCCCTAGGACTGCCCTGAATTAGTTCTTAGAATCATAGAAGATCAGGATTGGAAGAGACCTCAGGAGGTTACCTCATCCATCCCCCTGCTCAAAGCAGGACCAACCCCAACTAAATCATCCCCGCCAGGGCTTTGTCAAGCCAGGGCTTAAAAACCTCTAAGAATGGAGATTCCACCGCCTCCCTAGGGAACCCATTCCAGTGCTTCACCCCCGTTCCTCAGTGAAATAGTTTTCCCTGATATCCAACCTAGACCTCCCCCACTGCAACTTGAGACCATGGCTCCTTGTTCTGTCCTCTGCCACCGCTGAGAACAGTCGAGCTCCATCCTCTTTGGACCCCCCTTCAGGTAGTTGAAGGCTGCTATCAAATCCCCCCTCACTCTTCTCTTCTGCAGACTAAACAAGCCCATTTCCCTCAGCCTCTCCTCATAAGTCATGTGTTCCAGGCCCCTGTTGCTTTACGTTGCCCTCCGCTGGACTCTCTCCAGTTTGTCCACATCCTTTCTGTAGCGGGGGGGGCCCAAACTGAATGCAATACTCCAGATGTGGCTTCAGCGGTGCCAAACAGAGGGGAATAATCACTTCCCTCGATCGGCTGGCAATGCTCCTACTAATGCAGCCCAAAATGCCGTTGGCCTTCTTGGCAACAAGGGCACACTGCTGACTCATATCCAGCTTCTCGTCCACTGTAATGCCCAGGTCCTTTTCTGCAGAACTGCTGCCTAGCCATTCGGTCCCTAGTCTGTAGCGGGGCATGGGATTCTTCCGTCCTAAGTGCAGGACTCTGCGCTTGTTCTTGTTGAACCTCATCAGATTTCTGGTTTGAACTAGAGCAGATCTTCTAGGGGAAAAGAAAAATCCAGTCTTGATTGGTGTATTCGATCGTCAGCCCTTTGGGGAAGGGGCTGTCTCTCTGTCTGGGCAGCGCCCGGCACAATGCAGCCTGTAGCTGGTGCTGGAATTCTGCTGGTAGGTTGAAGTTGAACAGCCCCAGTCGGCAAGAATCATTCCAAAAGTTAGCACTAACCTTCCGAAAGGGGGATCTCAAAGAGGGCGAGGAAGCTCGTCAAAAAAGGCCCTGAAGTCTAATGTGGCAAATGCTTAGACGGGAAGCTGCTTATACATACGGAGGAGAGTCCCAAGGGGCAAACAAGCTATACATGAAAGAGACCCCCCCCTCCCCGGGAGCTGAGAGCCACTCTGGGCTCTTCCTGACTCTGGTGTGACTGGGAAGGTAAGGATCCAGCAAGCCAAATTGTGCCCTCGCTTGTTTACTCAGTCCAGGATCTCTCCGGAGGTGTGGCACAGAAGGATGGTGGTAAATGGCAAATGGGTCAGAGAAAAGCCATGAGAATGATCAGGTATCAGAGGGGTAGCCATGTTAGTCTGGATCTGTAAAAGCGGCAAAGAGTCCTGTGGCACCTTATAGATTAACAGACGTATTGGAGCAGAAGCTTTCGTGGGTAAACACCCACTTCGTCAGATGCATGACATGTGTCAGGTGCCACAGGACTCTTTGCCAAGAATGATCAAGGGATTGGGAAGCCTTCTAGTGAGAGACTTAAAGAACTCAATCTCTTTAGCTTAACAAAGAGAAGGTGACTTGACCCCAGCCTAGCCGTAACCACATGGCGAATAAGAATTTGATCCTGGGCTCTTCAGTCTGGCAGAGGAAGGTCAAACGTGATCCAGTGGTTGGAAGCTGAAGCTAGACCAATTCAGGCTGGAAATGAAGTGTCAATTTTTAACTGTGAGAGTGATTAACCATGGGAACAACTTGCTGAGGGAGATGGCGGGGTCTTCCTTGCTGGCAATTTTTGAATCAAGGCTGGATTTTTGTTTTAAAAGACGGGCTCGAGTTCAAACAGGAATTAATTCAGTGACGTCCTATGGCCTGTGCTACACAGGGGAGCAAGATGATCACAATGGGCCCTTTTGGCCTTGGCATCTGAGGCCCTATGAATGAGAAGCACTGCGACAGAATTCTATCCCCTGGCATAAGGGGCATGGCTGGGGAGAAGCACAGCTGGCTGAGGATTCTCCCTTGGGGGGGGGGCGTGGCCAATGACTGTAAGTTACCGCAGCCTTGGAGCTGCTCTAACTTCTGCTGGGGATCAGCCAGCCCCAGGATCTGGAGCTGGGAGTGGGGGTTGTAAATAGAGCAGCATCCAGCCATTCTTCTCTTTTTCCTCCTGCACTGTGCTCAGATTCAGCCCTGTGTTAGGGCTCAGTGCCTTCAAATTCTGCTCTCAGGTACACCCAGGCATTGCACAGGGGTAACCAGGAGCAGCATTTGCTCCAGTGCTGGGAACAGAGCTAACCCTTCCTTTGGTGGTGGTGGTGATGAGACGCTGATTCAGGAGCTGGACTAGAATCCGGCTAATCCAGCAACCAGGAATGAGAAGTAGCAAAACCAGAAAGGTTGCTCTGGGGGCTCAGAAGGGACTGATCTGGGACCCAAGCAGTTACACCAGTGCCAATAAGGACCCAGTGTGAAATGCGCTGGATTTATAGCCCAAAGCAGGATCAGGCACCGTATCAGGCTCTACTAATAATCATTCCCCTTAGCTCTTTCCGTCAGCTGATCTCAAAGCACTTTATAAAGAAGGTTGGTATCATTATCCTCATTTTACAGGTGGGGAAACTGAGGCACAGAGCAATTGCAAAAGGAACTGATTTGCCTGTCACCCAGCAAGCAGAGCTGGAACCAGAACACAAGTCTCTAGAGTCCCTAGGCCACACGACCATTTAACATTATAATTAGCCTTGCAGTAGCACCGAGGAGCCCCAGTCATGACCCTGGCCCCTATTGTGCTAAGCACTGTACATTTTGATTGCTATTAGGTATATTACTGGAATGTCTAGGGCCACCCCCTCCCGGTCATAGCCCAGGGCTCCATTGTGCCAGGTGCTGTATATTTTTGCTGCTGTTGGGTGTATTACGGTAATGGCTAGGTGTCCCAGGACCCCATTGTGCCAGGCGCTTTACAGACATGGAACAAAACACAGTCTCTGCCCTTAATCACATCCTGCCCTGCGGTGAGCTGGGATCACAGTAACAATTACCTTTGTGTCTCCAGCTCCCTGTCACTTGTGTGGCTGGGGGAGCCAATGCCAGGAGAAATTTTTCTCGTTGCTCCTGGGGGTGCCGTCCGGCTGTGACCTGCGGATCCCAGGGGGTTGTCTGGCTGTGGCTTGCGGATCCTGGCACTGTCTGGGTGTTGCCTGCAAGTCCCTGGGGGGGGGGGGTTTGTCTGGCTGTATTCTACCCAAGGCAGCACTCCACGCCAGTCCTTTAAAAATAGAAGTGCTTGTATTACATCCGTGGTGCCTCGTTAACCAGTGATACTCATTGCTGCAGGATGCTGGGGCCAGATCCGCAGGTGGTACGAAACAGTGTCGCTCCATTGGAGACAATGGGGCCAGATCCCCTCTTGGTGTAAATCGGCATTGCTCGGTGGAGCTGTGCCGGTTTACATCAGCCGAGGCTCCGGCCTGGACAGTTCAGCAAGAGGCAGGGGCATGTTTGGTGGCGGATGACTCTGAAGGTTTTTGTGCTTTAGGGTGCAATCAGGTCACTTTCCCAGGGGTGGGCTGCCAAGGGAGAGGCGAAGATTCCTCTTCTCCCAGTGGGATGTTACGGCCTAATTAGGTGGCAATGGGGTGAATTGGGGCAGGGGTTAGACCTTTCTGTGCAGCATCTGCCCTCGGTTACAGGAAGGAACGGGGCGGGACAGCACTTCCTGGGTCCTTACACTGCAGCTTCCCACTCCTTTGGGAAGGAGCAAACCCTCCCCTCAAAGCCAGGGAAGCGGCGGGCTGGTTGGCTGGAGGGGTGTTGGTGGGTGAAGTGGGATCCTTCCCCTCCAGCTGGCTCAGATGGGGCGGCCGTTTGGCAGTGTGCTCAGTGCGCAGGACATGGGAATCCACTTGGCATGAACTGGGCTCCCTTGTGGGCAACACGACTCCTGAGCCAGAGCTCCCCGCCAGAGAGGGCAGATGGGGCAGGCTGTGGGGGGGCAGGGGAAGGGGGGGGAAGCTCATACATTTTGTGGGGGAAATTTCGGCTCAGGCAGTGGACTGGAACTCAGGACTCCTGGGTTCTATTCCCAGCCCCGGCGCCTGCGGGACTTGGGTGAGTCGCTAACAGTTCTTTCTGTTCCCTCCCTCTGATCGGGGAAAGCAGCTCGCCTGAGATCTGGGTCTAATGTCTGTGTACCAGGCCCAGACCCTAGACGGGAGAGCGAGTTCACCTAGTCTGGCCTCCCGTGGAGCACGGGCCCTTTGGACCCCCAGAGTTGACCCCAATAGCTCTAGTGAGACTGATTCATTTCAGGCCTCGGGAGGCCGAAGGCAGAGCCCAGGAGAGTCCGAGGTGCCCACAGTGCCCGGGTCCCTGCCGGGGCGGGGAATGGTCTGGGTGGGAGGTGCCCTGGGTGGGTGGGGGCCCTGATCCCGGATTGGAGCTAGAAGAGTCTGACCCTGGGGCATCCATAGTCCTGTCCCCTGCCTTTGGCCCCATGCCTGTGCCCGTGCCCGCCAAATCTATCCCAGGCTCAGCCGGGGCCGGGCACCCCCCTGACTCGCTCCGTCGCTTCCTCCTAGGTGGCCTCTGCCTGGACGTGGGCCGCCGGGTGCTCTGCAAGTGCCGGCCCGGCTTCGCCGGCACCCGCTGCGAGCGCAACATTGACGACTGCGCCTGCAACCCCTGCGTCAACGGCGGCACCTGCCTGGACGGGGCCAACAGCTACACCTGCTCCTGCACCCTGGGCTACGGCGGCAAGGACTGCAGCGTGCGTGTGGACGCCTGCAGCTCCAGCCCCTGCCTCAACAGCGGCACCTGCTACACCCACTTCTCCGGCCACGTCTGCGAGTGCTCCGCCGGCTACATGGGCCCCAGCTGCGAGTTCAAGGTGCAGAGCCCCACCCCGGCCAGCAGCCGGCGGCTGGCGGTCAACGACCCCTTCCCGATGGCCCTGGCCGTCTCCTTCGCCCTGGGGCTGGTGACCCTGGCCCTGGGGGCGTGCGCAGCCCTGGCGGTGCTGCGGCAGATGAGGCAGGGCCGCAAGGTGGTGAAGGGCACCGTGCGGAATGACCTGGACACCATCAACAACCTGAAGGAGAGGGAAGGGTTCCTCGTTGCACCCGGGCGGTTCAAGGTGCCCAACAAAGAGCCCAAGTTTGGCAGTGACGGCCTCCGGGACAAGTTCAACTGCAAGCGGAAGCTGCTGGATCTCAGCGGGGACGCCGCCTGCAAGAAGAAGCCGGAGAAGTAAGTGTCCTGGGAGCTCCTTTCCCTTGCATCTCCCGGCGGGTCTGGGCCCAGCTCCCCTTCCCCCGGTTGGCGCTTGCGGGTTCTGCGTTCGCTGGAATCGGCGCGGCGACTCCGGATTGGTGCGGGGCAGGCGTCGGCGAATCGGTGCAAATCAGGGGGTGCGGTGCGGTTGTTGGCAAGTCAAGGCGTGATGTCTGAAACCAGTGGGGTGGGCGGCGGCAATCCTTGCCAGCCGGGTGCGTGATTTCTGAAATCAGCCAGCCATTCGACGCATGAATTTCTGAAAGCCGCGGAGGCGCTGCAGTCCCTGGTGATGCAGTGCGTGGTTTCGGAAGCCGGCGTGCTTCAGCACCTGCGTTGCAATCACTGGCAACCCAATGGCTGGTTTCAGAGCAGCCACCGTGTTCGTCTGTATCTGCAAAAAGAGCAGGAGGACTTGGGGCACCTTAGAGACGAACCCATTTATTTGAGCATAAGCTTTCGTGAGCTACCACCCACTTCATCGGATGCATGTAGTGGAAAATACAGTGGGGAGATTTGAATTGGAATTAATTTGCAAACTGGATACAGTTAACTTAGGCTTGAATAAAGCCTGGGAGTGGATGGGTCATTACACAAAGTAAAACTATTTCCCCATGTTTATTTCCCCCTCCCCTGCTGTTCCTCAGGCGTTCTTGTCAACTGCTGGAAATGGCCCACCTTGATTATCACTACGAAAGGTTTTCCCCCACCCCCACCCCGCTCTCCTGCTGGTAATAGCTCACCTTACCTGATCACTCTCGTTATGGTGTGTATGGTAACACCCATTGTTTCATGTTCTCTGTGTCTATAAAATCTCCCCACTGTATTTTCCACAGCATGCATCTGATGAAGTGAGCTGTAGCTCACGAAAGCTTATGCTCAAATAAATTGGTTAGTCTCTAAGGTGCCACAAGTCCTCTTTTTCTTTTGGCAACTCAGTGCAATTCAGTGGCCATGCTGCAGTCGCTGGCCATTTGGGGTGGATTTCCAGATATCTTCACAGACATCGGTCATTCACCATGCTCCAAAGCCTGGCGCTCAGAATGGCTGGGTGCTCCCAACTCGAGCTGAAATAAAGGGGCGGTCCAGGTGGTCAGCGCTTCTGTTAATCAGGATCTAGCGGCCTGGGTCAAATCCAGCCCTGGTGTAAGAGGGCTCAGCTTCCGCTGATGTCAATGAGAGTTGCACCAGGACAGAATCTTGCACTATGTCCCTATGGCGTGCTCAGCTGGAATCGGGGCAGGGAATCGGGCACTGCAGATCTCCGTGGGGTGTTCTCTGCAGTGTAGGGTGGTGATTCAGTATTTGCACTGCAGGCCAGTGCAGATCTTGATTGCAGTGCGCTGATTTCACTGCCTTGTGCAATCAGCATGGTACTGCACTCAGTGGAATCACTCCACTGCATTTGAGATCTGCACTGGCATACTGACTGCAGTGCCCTATTGATTGACTGGCCCGTGAATTCAGTCCCTTGCCATTCGGATCTCTGCCCCGCGGGGGCTGAAATCGGCATGCAGCAGCGAAGTCCTCCCCCTGTTGCAACTCTGCACATTGCGGGGCCGTCTGGTGCATGGGGAATCACCTGCAGAGTTTGCAACTGGGGCTGAGGGCTCTCCGGGCAGATGAGACGTTTGTAATGAACATGGGGGAATTTTGCCTATTGGTTCTAGCAGCCGTGGAAGGTCTCAGGCCATGTAAAAAGAGTTGGTCTATGTATACAAATTATAACTGACATTTAGAGCAAGGCGTGGGGGGTTTTCCCTCTGGTGAAGGAGTGCGTCTGAATGGCCTCACTGCAGCTCTCTCCTGGGCAGCAGTATTGACGGGATGAGACGGGGGAAAGCAAAATGACAAGCTGGCGCTCAGGACGAGCTGCTTGAATCTGAGATCCGCTGGGCCGGGAATGGGCTTCATAATGGACGGGGTGCGAGTGCGGATTAAAATCCCGCTGGACACAGGCTTGGAGAATGCGCGGTATAGAGGGACCCTGCACTTGCTAAGGGATGTGGATTGAATGGGGCTTAAATATCAGGCATAGTAGTTAAGAGATGTTAGAAGCCCATCAAGTCAATTGCTGCTCTGAGAGCACCCCCATCACTCCTTGAGCGCAAGGAGAATCCCTAGTAGTGGTATAGGGGTCTATGACACACAGCAGAGCTGTTCTGATTCCAGCCAGTCGAAGGCGGCAGCATCTGCGCAATCTGCATCCGAGTGTGTTTCAGCCCTGCCCCCTGCTGGATGCAATCGGAGCTGCCCAGCCGTGGGTCATAAACCCTCTAGTGCATGCAGAGCGTCTCCTTTAGGCCGAGCAGCGCAGAGGGGCAGGGCAGAGCTGGGCTTGTGGAGCAGGAGGGTCTGAGCTGCGTGCCTGTGAAGGTCCAAGCGTGAAGCTTTGATGCTCTCACGAGGCTGTAACCAGATAGGGGTTTACTTGGCAGACTTGCTGGAATTACACGGCCGAGAAGAACAGCGGCACGGGTGCTTGTGTATTGCCTGGGAATGACAAGGAGGCAGGTCCTTTCCCAGCCACTGTGGCCAAACGACCCCAGCTCCTGCTAGTCTAAGAGTCCCGATTCAACCCGCAGGGGGAAGGCAGGCTGGCCTGGAACACAGGAGACCTGGGTTCATTTCCTGCCTCTGAGTTGCTCCAGACAAATCAGTGGCAGTCGCCATGGGCCTCGGTTTACCTGCGGGATAGCAATGCTCCCCTGCCTCCTGGGGGCGCTGCGACCCTCCATCCATCAACGCTGGCAGGTTGGCCGCTGTATCGGACTGAGAGAGATGTGAATCCTTGATCCTGATGCTTAGGGGCACTGGATCTAAAATAAGTGGCAGCATTGGAGTGTCTCCCCCATATACCTGAACCCCTCTCTGTGGGCCCTGAGCAGCAGGAGGGCTTGTGTGCTGAGCTCGTTGGGGCTTTGCTCCTCTGGGAAAGGTATGTTCAAAGCCAAACGCTTTGGGTTTGTCCCAGCCAAGGTTTCTCTGCCACCTTGTAGCCCTGGGGGAGGGGGGGAGAGACTGCCGCTGGGCTGCATCTCCTTGTATCTCCTCGGCAGTAGCCTGTGGCCTGTGCCACTGGCGGTCGTAGCCACGTGCGATGCAGCGACAGAGGGAATTGCTGGGGCCGGGAGCCGCGGGAGGAGTGGGGCAGCTTGGCTGTGCCAGTGGGGGTTACCCGGCTGCTCCCCCATATTGGCAGCAGGCACCAGATGGGTGGCCAGGGGGCAGTTTGTGCGCCCAGCCTCCATGACGGGATTCTGCCCTCTGCTAGCAGAAAGTATAAGGCAGGGGGTCCCCCGGGATGCAGGGCGGAGATGATGGATGCTGGACGGCTGAGCCCCAGAAGGTGCAACACCATCAGATGTTTGAGCAGCTTTGTTTGCCGAAGCACGGAGCAGGGATGTTTAAGAAAGGGAGCATTGTGCAGTGGGACCCTGGGGTTCTATCCCCAGCTCTGGGTGGGGAGTGGGGTCTAGTGGTTGGACAGGGGGGCTGGGAATCAGAACTCCTGGGTTCTCTTCTGCCTCTGAGTCCCCGGTTGATGGTGTTCAAGTCACGTTCTTCGCATGTCCCAGTTTCCTGTCTGTACAGTGGGGCCAGGGGGTGCTCAAAGGGCGTTTGTGACTAGAGAGCATTGGTGAGGCGCCTGGAGCTGGCCTCGAGCCAGCCCCCAAAGCAGCGTCTTGCTAGGGGCCTGATGGGACACCAGCCCCGCTACCCCCGGTGGTTCCCTGTCAGCTTTGGACCAGCCCTCCACGGAGGCCAGCGTCTCTCCATCAGCACCTGGCTCCGGGGGCTGAGCTGATGCCCGTGGTTTGTTCCTGTGCGTCTCTAAGCAGCGTGTGAGCTACGTGGCTCTCTGGGGCTACGCAGGCAGCCGGGCTGGGGCTTGCTCGTTGGGACGGCCTGGGATCGGCATTCTCTGCAGGCCTAGAATTCATCTCCCCCCGGAGCCGGCTCCGTTCCTCCTCCAGCCATGCTGCAAAGACCGAGCATTCGGGGCACACAGTGAGTTTTAGCGGGGGTGCTTTATTTCCGTTGAAGCATCCCCTAAGGAGCCCCCCCACCAGGCTTCCCTGGGGTACCCAGGGCTGTGCGGCACCTCGCTACTACTCATGCTTAGTGCGAGGGAGCATTGTCAGGGCCTGCCGGGGCTCAAGTCTCCGACTCCGCCGGCCAGTGGCAACTCAAGCGCTTGCCGTCCCTGTGCTCAGCCCTGAGCCCTCCGCGCACCCCCCTGGAGAGTCCAGCCCCCAGTCCGCTGGACACTTGCAGTATTTACAGCTCCTCTGCTCCCAAAGAAACAGGTCGTCCCGGCTTGCTGGTTCCGCCTCGGTTCTCTGCGCCGCTCCACACACTAGGGCTGCCAGGTTTCCGGTTTTTGACTGGAAAGTCCAGTCGAAAAGGGCACCTGACCGTGTCCAGTCGGAAACAACCGACCGGACACCCAAAGTCCGGTTACTGCCTGCCGGGGCGCCGGAACAACTGGGGTCGAGGAAGCGGATGACAGGCAGGGAGGTGCTGCGAGAGGATCATGGCACAGAGCCAACAGTGGGGGGCAGCAAGTGGCCAAGCCACCACAATCCTCCCCCCAGTGTGCGCCCGCTCCCCCCTCACGCCACCGGAGCCAACCTCTCCGGCTCTTCCAGCGGCAGCCGCCTCGGCGGTGGCAGCAACTCCAGGGATGGACAGCGAGAGTGCACCCAGGAGCAGCACCCCCACCCTCCCACTGCTAGCTCCCACCATGCCTGGGTGAGTAGCTGGGTCAGGGCGCGCCCTCCCTGCGCACCTGCTGTGCCCCCTTCCTGGAGCCCGGGCCAGCCCGCGGGGAAAGGGGTTCCCACTGCCAGCTCCCACCTTGCCTGGGTGAGTAGCTGGGTCAGGGCGTGCCCTCCCTGCGCACCTGCTGTGCCCAGTGCCCGGGCCAGCCCGCGGGGAAGGGGGTTCCCACTCAGCCCTGGCAGAAGGATCCC